CCAATTTTTTTGTTGTTATTCTATATTAGAATACTATACTACCTTAACGTTTAGTCAACTTTCATTTAAGATCTACTGTAGATAATATAACGAAAATGACAAAATATCAACGTAGACAGAGAAAGATTTATTAGTATGAGAATCTTTCATCTACGTGTATATTTAGAAGAAGTTAGTATGTCATTTATTCGTAAAATTAAATTCATCTTCTCTTATAGTGTATATTCTAATCAAGAAATACTTTAACTTTTCGTTTATGTTAACCGTTTAGTCACGATTTGTTCGTATCAAGATTCTCGTGCTAGATTGTCCACATACGGATACAGAATATGTCTATTTTTCTATTTTCTGCACTACAGTTAACATTATGAATTCATTAGAGCAATAATACGAGACTTGATTCTCTTGATCAATTTTCAACTAAAAGAAACTTTTTTGTTATCTCCTCTGCGACGAAAAGATTTTTATCCGTTTAGTACTGAAAAATTTATGATTGCTTTGTTATGTGTCAGTATTAATTAATTCTATGATTTTTCATCTATTAAGAATATCTTTCTCGTTATTGAATGAAAAAAAACAAAAAAAATTTTTTTTTCTTCTCTCCTAACACATTGTTTAAACCTTGAAATAATCGACCTCTATGTCTCTAATGTATGTGTCCATACTAAATTTGATATTTATTTGAAGAACAATTTACAGTTATCAAATATTTTTATCTATTGGGATGATATATGTATGTGTGTCTGTGTGTGCGTACATGTCCTTTTAATAGATGAGAATATATCTTTATGTATATAAAAAATATACACACACTACACAGCACGATTGTACCTTGTACATATTATTATTATTATTATTATTATTATCATCGTGATCATCATCATCATAATCATCATCATCATATCGCTGTATGTGTTTGTTTTTAATGAATAAACAGATGAGAAAAAAAAAACTACATTGTCTAAACATGAATGACGAAATGTAATAGGGCGACTGTGTAAAAAATGAATGTTTTTTTATTATTTTATTATAGATTTCGATCTTTTTTCTCTTTTTCTTTTTTATTACGCGACAGGGACACGTATCAACATCCTTATCATCAAAATTGTAGAGTTACGAACAAGTGAGAGCGGTGACGTTTCGATAAAACTATTAATTTGTTACAAATACGTCAAATATATCATTTATTGTACAAATCATGTTTATCTTTTGTCTTTCTTTTATTCTTTAGAAATAGTCGAAGGGTAAATTAGGAGCAGTATGTTATTTTTCTTCTTTCTCTATCACAAGACAATTATGATTCATTCTAATTTTTTTTTTCTAACATTCGTTTTTTGTCCTCAAATAATAATTATAGCTCTAAAATAATGAAATAATTAGTTGCGGTGTATAATAACTAAGTCATTTAGGTATTGACTTTTTGTGTAGGTATAGGTTGGTGCTTTTCTTTTTTGGTTGTTATTATAAGTGATAATTGTTAATGGCTCACAAGAACACTTATGTAAACAGAGAAACAAAAGAATGAAAATTTTTCCATAAGACTTTAAATAAATAGGTTACAAGGAAGAGAAATGACATTATTTTTTATAATCGAAATCTTTATAGAAAATAGAAGAAAAAAAGAAAAAATAATAAAGAACTTTAGACATGGTCTGTAATTTTGTTATTATTGATGATACCATGGATTTATGAAAAGAGAGAACATTATTTGATGTAGGCTTAAATCAATTACACGAGTGATGACGAGATGATCATCCAATATTACACCAGCGACCGATTTAGTGTTGTGGTGGTACTGGCAGGGTCACAAATAGAAGTCGAACTATAGGAGAGTGTAAAAGAAAATTTCTCTCTGAGGTAGTGTAAAATTGATAAAAAAAGTTTTGCGCGATGAATAACGGATAAAATAACAATAGCTTTTTCTTTCACTCTCCCGTTATTTGCGTACTGAAGGCTGGCAGCACCGAAATTTTTTGATTCCATAGTGTCTTGCCCATACAAATTCATCAATTCCATACGCCAAGTTTACGGGACTTTTTTCAATTCAGCCAGTACCAAAAAAATTATCTAAATTCTTCACTCTATTATACTTTACTCTCATCTGTATCGGTGAGCTGTTCTTTATAAACGGAGTATGTTACTAAACTATTCGTTCGTGAAAACATCTCCGTAAATGTACGTGATCAATGAAGATAAATCTGTTTTTTTTTTTGAATAAACGATCATTATATAATACAGTGGGTATGCGCTACAGGTATCCTCTAGGTTAAATAGTCTATCATAATTTATGGTAACTTAACAGAAAATTATCGTTACACCTTGAGACACGTCATATTATTTTTGTAATGAAAAGAACTAAAGATGTTTGACAACATGTGGCTATAAGAAAATATTGTTTTCTATATATTGAAAGTGATAGAAATCAAGTTATATTGTTGTTTTAGTGTCGAACTAACTCAGTCAATAATTTACATGGTTTATTTGTAAAGAAAAACCTGTTATGATTAAATTAACAATAGAACAATTGTGTGTTGATTTTTTCTATTTCTCTCTTCTCTCTCTCTCTCTCTTTCTCATTTTCCTATCTTGTACATATTATTAACCGTTTGTCTGTCTGTATAAATGTATAGATGTATGTATGTATAATTTTAATCAAAGACATATGTCACTGTATTCTTCGTCGAGTCCTCATCGTCGTCCTCGTCGTCGTCATTATCATCATTGCGTCTGCTTTTAAGCAATTTATTACTTGCTCTCTTTAGTTGAAGAATACAAAAAAACAATTTCTTTATTCTCTCCCGTGTCGTTTCCAGTTTCAGTCGACTATAGTGTAGTGATCGTCTTTCATATTTTCCTTCTTTTTTCTTTATGCATATATATATATATATTTAAAAATGCTAATCGTTCTTCAATGAATCTCAATTATTTTGATTAAAATAATGGAAAAAAAAAAAAAAAAAGACTATTTGTATAAACTTTCCTACCGGGTATATATCCTACACTTTTCTTCTTCTTTTTCTTCTCTTTTTGATCTTTTATGTACGCGAATATAAATGACAATTCTCTACACCCTATTTGTTAACTTTCTGTACAAAAGGAGATGAGGTGAGAGAGGGAGGAATATGTTTCACGACTAATTAACTATCTAGATAGTTTCATTTATATCTCATCACACTACAGATGCATTCAGAAAAAAGCGTAAATTGTACACTTGTATGTGTATATACATTGGGTCTGACCTTATCATCAGCAGGTCAAAAAGTGAAAGAAACGAAAGGAAAGGAAAAATGTTAGTTGTTTCGTCTATATATATATATATGTTTTGTTTTTTCTTCTTGTTCTAATAATAATAGACATTAATAGACAATGGTTCAAACATGTTCAGAGATATATACGTCGCTTTTTTTTTGCTGTTTTTGTATTTTGTATACTAGATAATACTACTTACTCATTTACTTATACATAGTGATATCCTCTGTACGTGACTTGGTGAGTAAAGAATGATTTACCAATGTCAAAATAAAAAAATAAATTTAGTGTGTGTGTGTGTATGTGTGTTTTTTGTTTTATATATTTTATTGTGTATGTAAATCTAATCAATCCAGGTAAATACAATATAATCTAGTTGTATACGCGACTAATAATCCTCCCGTCGAGCGTAATGTATATGTTCTTGATTAGATGTTTCTTTTATTTTGTAAAGAATAGAAGATAAAGAGAGAAGAAAGACAGATTTATTTGATAAATTATATAAAATGTCTTTTCTATTTAACACAGCTTTTGTCTTCCTATGGTTTCCTTTTTGTTCAACTTTAGATCAATACCATTTGAAATCTTTCTAATGACTTAGAGAAGATTTATTGTTCTTTAGCCCCGTACACATACAACTCTTTTATTAAGTGTGTAACGTTTAAGAGACAATAGTCGTCTAAGAGATTGTATTTCTACTGATTATTTTTCTTGAAAAATGTTGAACATATGAATAATAGAAAACTAATAAAGTTGACCGGTAGTTTGTTGCGTGTCTATGTAAAATTTCCTTTAATTGTCTATCATTGCCGTGAGTAATTCTTATTCATTTTTTTATTTTTTTTTTTATTGTTATTGATGATATCTATATTGACATCGACTTATTAACAATTAGAAATTTTTATTTTTATTTTTATAATCCAATCTGTACTGAAAAAGCAACAACAGAGGAGAGAATCATTGTCTATACAATTGTGTACTGATTTATTTTTTTATTTCTAGAATTTAGTTAAAGAATTGTATATTATTCTCTATTTGACACTTAACATATGCATTAGTTCTCTTTTTTTTCTTCTTCAAGTGAAACAAATCAAAAGCTTTTCTTTTCCTTTTCTGCATAATAAAATACGATAATAATTATAATATATAAATATATGTATATGTGGAGAGAGGTAGAGATAGTTAGATGTATATATTTAAAGTACTTTTATTATACTTCTGTTGTATGATGATAAAAACAAAAAAAAATAGTAAAAACAAAACAGGTGCCTGGTACACGTCAATTTTCTCTATATTCCATATGCTCTCTCTCTCTTTCTCTCTTTCTGTCATAATTTATGTAACTAAAAGAAGTAGAAAATGACAATATGTCAACAAACTATTGTTAAACTCTATAACTAATCACTTACTCTCTTATTTTATTTTTATCTTATATTTTTAGAATAATAATAATAATAATAATAATAATATCAATACAAAGTAAAAATTAATGAAATATATTTTTAATTTTTTCACTCTTCAATATATAACGACACTTTATGATTATTATAATTATTAAAAATTATATAGTTTATTTTATGCCACATTAAAATAACATCGTACAACAAAGTTAAACACTGCATTCTGTTTATTCAATCTCCCAGGAAAATATAAAAATTCATTCACACACAAATCTCAAACTTAATAATTCAACAACATCAAAAATTATTGACGAAAAGAAGAAGAAAAAAAATTCGATTGAGAACAAATCGATGTATTCGGGACGGGCTCCTCAGGTTTGTTTGTTTGAAAAATGATTAATTCCATTTAAATTAAGAAAATTTTTAACTCTTATTCTATGATTATAGGGCCCATCGCAAATCGATTTTAGCATAATCGAATTTTGCGATCGAATTAAAAAAGAATTTGGACTATTACAAGCACAATGTCAAAGGTAAATGTGACAATAATAATTTTTTTACTGTTTTTTTATTGAATATCATCTTTTATTTTTGTTTTTTTCAGTTTAAAATTTGATTGTGAAAAATTGGCACAAGAAAAATTAGAAGTTCATCGCCAGTATATAATGGTATTTTATCTATAAACTTTAATATTGTCTCAGATGATTTAAACTAACTAATTTTTAGTATTATGAAATGTCCTACGGTTTGAATGTCGAAATGCATAAACAGGTGAATCTTTTCAAAAACTCTTTCTAATGCGTGATTTTTCATCAAATTTGTATTTCAGTCAGAAATAGCGAAACGTTATTTGGGTATATGTCATCAGATGTTGCCATGTTTACAGTCTGAGGTAAGTGTTTCTCTATGCAATCATAATTTTCAAAAAGATCATTGTTTTGATCATTGTTTCTAGCAACAAAGTCAAGTGGCAACGGCTCTTGAACGAGCAAAATCAGTGACGGTAGCGGAACTAAATGCGATTATTGGGGTAAGTTATTCTTCGCTACTCGATCAATACAGATTTATCTCATATTTTATTAATTTTAGCAACAGATGCATCAAGGCTCAGGATTTCCTCATGCACATGCACAAGCACATCTTGCAGCTCTTGGAGCTCATCCAGCCAGTGCCTATGGTTTACCACCACCTGGAAATTCTTTACCACCTGGATTATTAGCATTGAACTCCGTTGCCGGAGGGCTCGCCGCTGCACAACATGCATTTCTGAAAGAAGAAAAAGGTAAATAGAATGATTTAAATTATGAATAATAACATCTATCACCTATATTCTATTTATAGATAATAACGAACGAGAAAAATCATCAGTTAACTTTGATAAAAAAGTACGGTAGATTTTACTTATGCATGAAATGCGTATTCATAATTTTGTTGTCTTTTTGTAGAGAAATTCGATATCACCCCATCATGTATCAGAAAAATATCGTGGACACAGTCGATCACCACACGAACATCATGAATCTAAAAAAATCAAACGTGAAGAGGTAAACAATTTTTCGATCCTAATTACATACTGATGTCTAGTATTTTTTTGTTGCTTCTATTGCAGGAGAGTGAAGGAGAAAAAAGTGATGGTGATTTAGTTGTTGATGATGCGAATGAAGTAAGTTGTTTACTTTGTTCTTTTTTTCTTTTTGATTAAAAACACATGCTATTTTTAACAGAATGACAGACAACTTGTGAATGGTGTGCGATCACCACATGAAAATGGAGAATCGTCTAAAACATCGTCGTCAAGAAAATTAGATGAAAATAGTCGCAGTCCACATAGCGATAATGGATCAGCTAGAAGTACACCATCGTTAAAAGTATTTTACCGTCAAATAACAGTGAATATATTAAATTAACAATGAAGTTTTTCTTCTTCTAGGGCAGTGAAAAAAGTGGCTCAGCTCCGTGTAGTAAATCATTACAATCAAGTGGTCGTGGAAGTGTAAGACACTCACCAAAATTACCCGGTAAGCTACAAAACTGTTTTGTTTTTTTATAAAAATTAGCCTGACATTGAGTAAACGTACCAAAGAATTGTTAACTTTTAAATTTTAATTTTGTGCACTTGTTGCACATTCATATGTGCACTTGTTTATTGATGACGCTTCATTCTTTTTTGTTTAGCTTATCCATATGGATTTGTTCCTGAAAATTTGGCATTTGCTGGTCAATTATTAAATTCGGCCAATGCATTATCGGCTGCTTTTGGGCCAGCAGCTGCTCGTGGTTCATCACTTTCAACGTTGAATGATTTATATTCTGTTATGCGTGTACCACCACCATCTTCGTCAAATGCCCCAGTAACCGGTAATGGTTCCGAGCGAAGTGGCAAAACTCATTATGCATTTCATACAGATTCGGATCCTAGCCAATTTGAACCGTGTAATTTTCCACCGGATGCATTTGAAGGTGTTGGTTTACCTAAACGAACACGTATTCTGAAAACATTAGTACATGGTGACGTTGTTTGTGCTGTAACAATATCTGAATCAACAAAACATATTTATACGGGTGGAAAAGGATGTGTGAAAGTATGGGATCTAAAAGAGAGTACAACAAATTCATTTGTAAATAAACCAATAGCACAATTTGAATGTTTGGTATGTTCTTTTCTAATCTATTTTCTCAAAAATGTTTTCTTTATTGAAAAATCAATCATATGATGAATATTCTTGATTTATTTAGAATCGTGATAGTTATATTCGTTCATGTAAATTATTGCCAGATGGACGAACACTTGTTGTAGGAGGAGAAGCACCAACAATTTCTATTTGGGATTTAAATGTATCCTCTTCAACGCCAAATGGTACAACAAGTGGCAGTAATTCTAATTCATCAACATCAAGTACATCATCGTCCACATCGCCAGTCGCAAGACTCAAAGGAGAATTATCATCAAAAGCACAAGCTTGTTATGCATTAGCAATTTCGCAAGATGGGAAACTCTGTTTTAGTTGTTGTTCAGATGGAAATGTCGTTGTATGGGACATTCAAAATCAAACAATTGTTCGGTACGACTTTCTGTTCTTGTTTTGATTATCCATATAATGGATACAAATTGCTCCAAACACGTTCGTTTGTAAATTCAAATTAATAACTAGTATTCTTTATCTCTGTCGAACGGAATTATCGTATATGCAAGATAGTTGAAAGTAATCATGTGTACTACAATGATATATCATGTTTAGTAGATTATTATCAGCTATACTAATTTTTCTTGTTGAATATAGAACGATGTTCTTTCACTAATCGATTATTTTATTTAATATTTTTAGACAATTTCAAGGTCATAGTGATGGAGCAAGTTGTATTGATCTATGTTTTGATGGCACAAAAGTATGGACTGGTGGTTTAGATTCAACTGTACGATGTTGGGATGTACGAGAAGGCAGACAATTACAACAATATGAATTTGATTCACAAATATTTTCATTAGGTTATTGTCCAACAGGCGATTGGTTAGCAGTTGGTATGGAAAGTAATTTAATTGATATATTAAATGTATCGAAACCGGATAAATATCGTTTAACATTACATGATAGTTGTGTACTATCATTAAAATTTGCTCGTTCGGGTAAATGGTTTATTTCTACGGGAAAAGATTCACAAATAATTGCATGGAAAACTCCATACGGTGCAAAACTATTCGATGTAAGTTATTTGAATCTAAATGTTTAGAATTATCGTACACAATGTGGTTTCATAATTTAAAAGTTATTTATTTTTTATTTTAGAACAAAGAAAATTCATCTGTACTTAGCTGTGATGTATCAAGCGATGATAAATATATTGTTACTGGTAGCGGCGATAAAAAGGCTACATTATACGAAGTCATTTATGAACGATGAGAGAATTAGCTTTTTTTTTTTTTCTTTTGGAATATTTTGTGTCACAATAGCAAATCGGTGTTTTTTTTCATATAATAGAACAAATCAAGTTATGATCAATTTCGTCTGTTAGTATCTGTTTGTGTGCGTACGTGTATTTTCTATCTCATTCTTACTTATGAAGAAGAAGAAAAAAAAAAATGTCTTATTTGACATTTTATTTGTTTTTGATTTTTTCATGAGCGCATATACAGTGAGTCTTGTTTATTTTTCTTTGTCAGATATATGTATTATGTACAGCGTCAGTTTCCTCTCTTACTCTGATCTTCTTCTTTTTTTTTTGATATTTTTCTTCTTGACGTTGTTGTTTCAATTTTTTTTGCTATCTCTATTGTTGTAAATATATTCTATAAATAGATGTGCGTGTGTATTTGAGGAATTTTGTTTTGAAGCTGTATTTTGTCGCTTGTTCCTCTCATTTAAATATTAATTCCCTAAAAGAGTGAGTTAAAAAGTCAAATTTAGTTTAATATAGATCGAATATGCGCAAGATTTTTGTTTTGTTTTCAATTACTCTTACAGACTCAGACGGATGCTGGAATTGTATGTTTACTCTAGCTATTTCACATACTCAGACGATATTTATAATGTTTTTCCTCAATTTATTCGGATGACATAATCAGAAATCCTTTTTTTTTTCCTCATATTTATGTATCAAACTGAAAGTAAAAATGTTCTAATCATCAAAGGCTTTTTTTCTCTTCATGCTCCCAGTTCTTTTGTTCCTGTAATGTTTTTTTTTTTTTCGTTTTTGTACGTCATTAATTATTTCCTTCCGATGTGAAATAAAAAAAAAGGATTAATACACGCTAGAAAGGAATTCAATTTTGATCTGTTTCTTATTGTGCGCCAACAGTGTTATCGACTCTTAAAAGTTAAAAATAGCGACTGTTAACATAATAGGTGAAATGTAAGATTTTTAATTAAGAATTAAGAATGACATGTTAAGGAAATAAATATACTTTTTCTTTAAAAAAAAAGGTTTCTAATAAAGAAAAATATAAAATATTAAACAATTTTATAATAAAATTAAAAGTGAATTCTATATCCTAGTACGGTCAGAAGACTTTGACACCGACTAGATATCTTCTATCAAACAACTTGTAGACCTCAACTTTACAACAAGTGTGATCAATATAATCAGGAATATTTTCGACGATTTTTTCTCATCTTATATGCGTATTTCTTGAAGCAATGTTATTATGTATGATTACAGTCTTCTCTAGTCATTTTATGGGATGAATGATCAATGGAGTTGATAATTAAAATAATTAGAATTGAAAAAAAATCAAAAATTATAGCTATTTTTTTGTTTTGTTTATGTATTTTTTTCAGATTATTTCAAAAAATCGATATAAAACGTTCAATAAATATGTCCGCTCGTAAAAAAGTACTTTTAAAAGTAATTATTCTCGGTGATAGTGGGTACGTATTTAAATCTCATTGTTATTTTTCTCCTAATGATTAGAATCTCATAAAAATTGTTTATTTTCTATTTTAGTGTTGGTAAAACATCACTTATGAATCAATTTGTAAATCGAAAATTTACAAATCAATATAAAGCAACAATTGGTGCCGATTTTTTAACAAAAGAAGTACAAATTGATGATCGATTAGTTACAATGCAAATATGGGATACTGGTGAGTTATTTATTATCATACGTACTCTATGATTATAAGAAATAAATTTTCTTTTAATCTAGCTGGTCAAGAACGTTTTCAATCTCTCGGTGTTGCATTTTATCGTGGGTAAGTGTTTTTTTTAGAAAGAAATTTATATCATTTCAATATGGATGAAATGTTTTTTTTTAGCGCCGATTGTTGTGTTTTGGTCTACGATGTAACAGTAGCAAATAGTTTTAAATCATTAGAAAGTTGGCGAGATGAATTTCTTATTCAAGCTGGTCCGAGAGATCCAGAAAATTTTCCATTTGTTGTTATTGGAAATAAAATTGATCTTGAAAATCGATTGGTATGTTTTTAATATAATTAGTACCTTCTTTTCTTTTCATAATCCTGAATACGGCTTATGATTTATGTGCACGTTTTTTTTTGCATTCTCTACATAGAATTCAATTTCTCTGTTTTTAGATACAAATTCGTAAAGCACAAACTTGGTGTACTGGTATATATATTTCATTTTATTTTTCTTAAATATTAATATGATATCATTTGTTTTATTCTGTTTTTATTAGATAAAAATAATATTCCTTATTTTGAAACAAGTGCTAAAGAAGGTGTAAATGTTGAAAAAGCATTTGAAACAGTAGGTGACAAAAGATGAATAAACTAAAAAATAGATTTTTATATTAGATAATTTGAAATATTTAGGTTGCACGTAATGCATTATCAAGAGAGAAAGAAATTGATACACCTGATTTTCCAATACCATTACGTATGCCAAATGAAGAGCAACAAAATGAATCCGGATGTTCATGTTAAAAATGACGTATTCTAGTAATAAAGAACATTTTTTGTTTGTAATTACATTCCTTATTTATTTATTTATATATTTATTCATTTCTTTTCTTCTTTCTTTTTTTTCTTTGTAATTTATATTCATATATTTATTATTCATGCGAATTGAAAATATTTTTTGAACACGCACTGGTGCTATGAAATTCTTAAAGTAAATATATTGAAGAAATGAAAGTGAGCATTTATTTCGTTAGTCATTTTTTTTTTCTTTCTGTTCTCTTGCGTAGATGATAAAACACATCTATTTTCTTCTTTTTTTTGTTTTTTTTTGTATTTTATATATCAATGATTTGTATACTACTACTATACGACTTTCTTTTTTATTAATTTTTTGTCTGTTTAAAAAACGTTTTCTGTGTTGTTGTACGTGTTAGTAAATTCAATTATCTTGATTATTTATAAAAAAAGAAAAAGAAAAAAAAGAGAATCAAAGTATTTTTGTATGCTGAGTGATTGAATCGAGTGAATTAAAGAGAGTGTTGATACTTTCATCATGATATTCTGATGATAAATCTTGTTACTATTGTGTTCGATCTTTCTACTCTAACAATTACATACCGACTAAATAGTTATAGATAACTATAAAACTAAAAAGTAAAACATATGTTTCTCTGTTGCATTCTTCTATCTTTAGTCGAATAAAATAATGCGAGTAGTTTAACTGATTTGTTTTAAGACATCTGTAAAACATTTTGTCAGAGCAATCCCATTTGGGACTAAAATGTGAAATTCCTTCTGAGTTTGTTTTTGTAATCAGTAATTAAAAAACGGTGAATGAACTCTGATAAAAGAAAAACAAGATCAACCAATAATCGACGGTTTTTTACATAGACTGCGGTTATTGCAATAAAAATCGACGATATGAGTATGATCCGTGAGCAAGAAGATAATAACTATAAGCCCCGCAGCAGTTTTAAGATTATAAGTGTAAACCTTATACGGTTTCAACGCTAGGTGTTTTTCAAATCATAACCAGAGATTGTAAAATCGTATAAATAAGGCTCTGAATGATTTATAGATCATTAATACATACTGAGAATGATTTTAAGGTTATACATAGAGGCTCTATGATTGGGCTCCAGTAGACAAACTTACGATCATAGCCACTACATTTATTTCATTAAGATCATAACGATAGGAGAGGGATGAGGGGTAAAAAACCAGTAAAAACGCTAGGATTCTGAGTATATGACTTACACTCATGCTTTCTACTATTCGAAGGAACTCCACAAAATGTAATTCGAATGCTTGTGCATCAAACTACGTTCATTATAGAAACACAAGTTGGATGTATATTATATTCCATTCAGATAAGAATTTGTGAATACCGACATGACTTGACACTTACCATAATCAATTTAAGATATTTTGGCATAAATATTAAAGACATCTTTGATTAATTTCGATAAGCAGTTCACGTTTTTTGTAATATTTTTAGTGAAAGATTTTCCATTTGTAACAACACCACGTTAGATCGAGTTAAACTACGTCACCAATGTTCTGAAACAATTTCAAGAGATGTGCTACTATTAACAGAATTTAATGAAACTGTGAAAGTGATTTCTTCGAATTCGTATTATATTTACTTTGGAGCTGAAACTCTTTGATCTTTGCGTATAATTAATAAATATCATTCACATTAAAAAGATTTTGAAACATCAGCATTACAGGCGATCGAACGTCGATATTTCACGTGGTTTCGTCGGAAAAAAAATAAATATGTAGAAAACATTGAATTCTCATGCAATGTGACGTAAAAAGGTAGAACTACGCTGTACTATGTCGTTTTAGCTTGTTTTGAAAACATTCTATATCCAGCAGAATACAACGAAAGTCGAAACCTAAATAGTTACGTAGACTCATGTTGAATTCAATGATTCAGACACAGTTTTAAATTAAAGTAGAAAATTCCGAATAATAATAATTGAGATTTTTTGTATGTTTTTGCAACTTTGGCCTCGTGATTCTTAGAAAGTCCGAATTCCCTAGATCTCTCACATATATTTTCGATATCTATACCGCTGGGACTGCGAAAGCTTCCATAAATTTATTTTGACTAATGACTTTCTAAATTGATCAAAAGTCAGCGTAAATCTAATTTCACAATTTTCCAGAGTAGATAAAAAAACAGAATTATCCATGTGATGGATGTCAGAATCCATGTGAACTGTCGAACTGAGTTTATCATGTCGATTAATCCGTTCGCATCCTTCCAAAATTAATCAGGTAACTAATAGAACATTCAACATTAGATAATTGATACATGAAAGTGTACGTTTCAACTCACACAACAGATTACAGAACTGCAGCAATTATTTTATCGAGTCAATTTTTAATAAAAACGGAATTAACGGATCATCATTTGATAATTATATTTTCCAGAATCGCTTGAATTCTTTTTTTATTTAGATCTACATTTTTTTTTGATAGCGATGAAGTATTACATTATTCGACTGATTTTTTCATATATACTTTGATTTATCGCACGCAATAATAGACTATTAATATAATTTGCCGATTACTCCTAATGTACTAAAATTGAAAAATTCTATATCCATACCAAGTTGGTCAATAGTACAAAACAGTGTATTCTTTAAAAATAAAAAGCATAAAAATTCAAATTGGAGAAATGAGAGAGATGTTGTTGGTATCATAATTTTAAATAATAGATACTAAATTGAATGGACGATGTAGTGGTATTGAATTGACACAGCGTCCTCCTTTACCATTGAATGATATTCCAAATTTATTGTCATTGTTATACAATCAAGACGAATTTTTATACTAGTTCACAATGTCAAAAGACGGTACAATATTTCATACCAATGGTGTCAAAATACAAATTGGGCCCTATCATTGTAATCATCGAGGCAGAATGACTGACATCCTCATGATGGAAGTTGGACTTAATGAGTAACCAGAACATTTAAGTGTGAGTTTTGTCTTATCTTCGGCTTCAAACAAAGATAAATCTAATTTTGAAAGAATGGCATATCCTGTTAAGTTCTACATTGTAAATATTCGATTTTAAATATAAAATATTATCCTGTAGAGAGAGTATTATAATATATTTTCACATTAGTGATACATTTCAATCTACTATTGCTTGCCGTTATTTGTATGTTAAATCTTTTTTAGATATTCATTATAATCATCATCTCAGTTAAAATATGCGTGATAATTCACAGTCATTACGTGTCGTAGCATTGATAAGGTATGATTTTCTTTTCATTTATCATACTTTTTAATTGAATTATTGTTCTATTTTTATTAGTGGTGGTAAAGACAGCACATATAATATGGTACAATGTACAAAAGACAATCATCAAATTATCGCATTAGCTAATTTATATCCGGAATCTACAGGTGAAGGAGGAGGACTAGGTTAAAAAAATAAATAAAAATAAACATTTTAAATTGTTTCTAGACGAGCTCGATAGTTATATGTATCAAAGTGTTGGACATGAAATAATAAAATTATATGCAGAAGCAATTGATATTCCACTTTATCGAGCTATAATTAAAGGAAATGCAAAAACAACAGAAAAATATTATAGTGAACCAGTTACTGGTGACGAAGTTGAAGATTTATATCAATTATTGTGTGAAGTCAAAGTAAATTAAGTTATAAAATATATATTTATTATTTACTTTTATTGATTTTTGATTTAGAAACATCATGAATTTGATGCTGTATCTGTTGGTGCTATATTTTCTGAATATCAATACAACAGAGTTGCTAACGTGTACGTACTATTTTTAGTATTATTGTTGATAAATAATAACGAACAATTTCATTTTATTATTAGTTGTCACAGATTGAATATTAAAGTGTTGACATATTTATGGAAACGAGATCAAAAAGTGTTACTTGATGAAATGATTGATAATGGTATAGAAGCAATAATAATAAAAACAGCCGCTATGGGTAAGTTAAACATTGAAGCACTTCATACATGTAATAAATTTTAAGAAATAGAAATCATAAGAAATTCATAATATTCCGCAATTGTTTGGATTCACATTCGATCAGTTGATATAATTCGCTCAGATTTGATAAATCATAAAATAAAAGACTAGTCACGTTAAAGGCCGGTTTTTACCCACACCAATACCTGCGAACAAGTCAAGTTACAGAAATATCATTTTTCTTTTCATGCATTTCAAATCTTGTAAAATCGTCATATAAATGGTAAAACATTATAGAACTGTTCAAAGACACCCAACAGTTGAATAGGTATAGATGAACAATCTGTGACGTCAATTTAAAGAATTTTAAAACAAAGGACTAGTCCCATTAAAGACAGTTTTTTGTCCACAATAATCTTGATTTTTTTATATAAAATATGGCAGAAATCCATCACTTACGAGGGAGGTCCACCAACTGTCCAATCGCTTTTGAGACGAAATCTAGTGGGTGATAGATAATCGACCATGCTGATTCTGAATATCGACATGAGACAGGCAGTTAAGCATCCAGAGACCCGTTTTTTGATAAACTAATTTGTCAAACTCCAAAAAATAATCAAAACCTTTCTTAATGATGCCTGATTGTGGCTCGCACATTTTTGATTAAAATGAGACATCTCCCCGCTCTACACGATCTTTCTTTGCAAAGTTATAGAATTTACAAGAAAAGCCCTAAATTACTTTTTTTTATATAGCTTTGAGCTGAGAATGAACATTTAGGGCTTTTCTTGTAAATTCTATAACTCTGCAAAGAAAGGTCGTGTAGGGCTGGGAGATATCTCATTTTAATCAAAAATGTGCGGGCTATAATCAGGCCTTATTAAGAAAAGTTTGGTTATTTTTTGGAGTTTCTGAAAAATTAGTTTTCCAGAAAACGGGTCTCTGGATGCCTAACTGCCCGTCTCATGTCCATATTCAGAATCAGCATGGTCGATTATCTATCATCCATTAGGTTTCCTCTCAAAAGCAATTGGACAGTTGGTGGACCTCCCCCGTTATTTTCACAAAATTTCAATATATTTGATTCCTGGGATATCCTTTAGGATTTTCGGAAAATGTTTTTCTTACATTTTCATAAAACCGCATGAACTGGATGCAGTTTTTCATGCTGATCACGCATATCACCTTTAAAATTAAAAAAGATGCCGTTTCCATTGAGAAAAACAGCTTGATTTACTTATTTTCAAACAGTTTTTGTCAATTGACTGTATTTCTTCCAAACATAAGACGTTTTTTATTTTTATATAGTTGAATAGAGCATTCATTTCTCTATCGAACTGTATATTTTGTATCTGATTTATTCCTCATCTTGGCCGAGAATTTAGTGAAATTTTAAAAGCCTTCACAAAAAACTTTTTCACAGTAATATTTAGCTGCAAGGGGAATTTAACTGAAACTAAATCCGATTTGCACGGAGACGGTTTCAGATTGAAGAGATCCATCAAAGTCATTTTTATACAAAGTATTGAATGAAACCGTCGTGTATTCGAGGAGAAAGTTTAATTTTTAAATTTTAAGTCACCTGGCACTTATCGTTACAGAAATGAAAAAGCAGGTTTTAGGACTATTCGTATAATGTAGAATTTACGTAAAAGCTCTCAGCTAAACCAGACTCAAATTAGATAATTCGATAGAAAAGTGAACGCTCTATCCAGCCATATAAAAAGGAAAAAGATTTATATGTCAAGTGGATTATAATCACCGGACCGAACATCCTATAACAAAAAATGCTTTTAAAGGCTTTTAGAATTTCACTAAATTCTCGGCCAAGATGAGGAATAAATCAGATACAAAATATACAGTTCGATAAAGAAATGAATGCTCTATTCAGCCATATAAAAATAAAAAATATCTTATGTTTGACAGAAATACAGTCAACTGACAAAAACTGTTTGAAAATAAGTGAATAAGTTGTACATCTCGATGAGTACTATGAGTAGTTTGCATAATTTTGTGGCCCTAGTTATCGTTCAAATCCCACAGCGTTTATACGATTGTTAACGCGATGACCAACAATGGAAGTTCTTTTCCAATGGTCGTTGAAGAGTTATGATATAGCTTATAATGACGAGAGTGTCGAATAGAGATATTTTCGCTGTAGGAAGGACTATGGCATGCAATACAGGATCAAAATTTCAATCGAAGGTCTGAAATTGTTGATCTCCATGTCAAAGTTAAAGTAATGTGATGAGTCTTTTGGTAACACGATGACGCCCTTTTCACTACTTCTGATAAGTTTTTCTCAAGTATACACACTACAAAGAAAAGTTATTTAAAGAATAAATTTAGCTCATTTACACACGTACTTATGATATACGCAAAAAAACTTGAATGAGTATATTATCGGTATAAATTTACAGATGACTAAAAGTAAAAATCTACATCATCGAATATCACCAATATTAAAACCTGTGACGGATGACTCAATTGGCAATGATGAAAGGAAACACTTTCTATATTGTGAAATTACACTATAAATCTTGACGACAACAAAATAGACCATTTTAAAAAGACTACTACTTTTTTGCTAAGTAGTTTTTATTAAATGCTAAGTTAATCCCTACTTTAGTAAGCTATATTTTTGTGTGACTGGGAGCGGTGAGGAGGATGGATGCGTGGAAAGCATGAGAGTGAGCCCACTAAACCACATTTCTGCTTATTTCTCAAAAGATATAATTATTTTTAATAGAAAAAAAAAAAACTTTTTACTTAGCATTTAAGTGGGAATCTTTTAAAAATATGGCGATGATCAGTCTGGCCGGAAGACCTTTTGGGGCATCCGGGAGAATTGCTATAAATCAGTTATCACGATTCTCTCAGAGCTGTAAAACATCTAATTTTGTAGAAAAATGTTTGCTCTACAA